TCAAAATGAATGCGGTCATTTATTTGCAGAATCAAAGTTTAACATCAAACATTTACATTAATTTGGCAAAATATGAAAACAATAACATGGCTAGTTTCACAGGAAGTGGGAACAATACGGCGATTGTCCTCACTTCTCAGCAGAACAGCAGACATCAATCACACGGCGGTGATTGAGAACTTTGCTTCAGACATTTCTAAAATATCTGTAATGATTTTAGGAGAAAGGAGAGTTTAAGATGGAAAATGGAGATTTATCTTACAGAGAGATGTGGGAGGGAATTTGTTTGTTTTAACCAGAACGTGCACGCTCCTTCAGATCTCAGCTTGGCCAACGGTACACTTTTGGTGAAGGTCGACTTTACCTTTCTGAAGATAGATCAGTTCGGCGTGAAGTCCTACTTCCAGCCACTTCCAGCGTCTCCGTTGAGAACAGCTAAAATACCTCGAGAGTCGTGCGAGGTTATCCAAACAGAAGTTATAATTCCCAAAATCGTCCCTGCATTCTGGATTCAAGAACTCTGAACTCCTTCAGAGCTCTACTCCTTTAAGCTCTTTTCATCTCGTCGCGTCTCTCTTCGACAGAGACTCGACACAGACATCAGACCTTTTTTTTTTGACACTTCTCTCAGAGAGCTGGGAAGTTGCCACATTTAAATGGGTTCGACTTCTGGGTCATTTGAGAGCTTTCTGATTCGTGGATGGACCAGAACAGAGGTGTGGTTTGTGATGTAAGGTGTTATCAAAGTCAAGGACAGAGATTAAGTTTGTTTAAAACAGACAGAAAGATTGTTGGAGAACTTCAGACTTCGTGGAGTCAATTCACCTAGTATCTGCTGTAAAAGTTAAACATGACATTTCTTTTCAGTAAACTTTTTAGTTGACCGAAGCCTGAACTTTGACACACACTTACAAACTTGCTCATTGAAGACAGAAAATCAAGAAATGCATATTACCCTGATTTCTTCTTTGAATGAGGAATAAAAATCATTACTTACTGTTTATGTAAATAAAAATGAGTAGTTCTCTTCACAAGCTGTAAACATTGAGTGAACTAACACAATTTGATTATCAAACATTTGTAAAATAGTAATGATCATAGAGAATTGTCATTTCTACTTGATTAATTCAAGAAAGAAAGTCTCAGGATGGGTCAAACTGTATTTCTGGATGCAGATCAATGAAATAACAGTTTCTGTCCATCTGGTCAGATTTGACATCAGGTCAAGTTCACTACATATGTCAGTCTGATGTTGTATGTCAGTCTGATGTTGTATGACAGTCTGATGTTGTATGACAGTCTGATGTTGTATGACAGTCTGATGTTGTGTGACAGTCTGTTGTTGTATGACAGTCTGTTGTTGTATGTCAGTCTGTTGTTGTATGTCAGTCTGATGTTGTATGACAGTCTGATGTTGTATGACAGTCTGTTGTTGTATGTCAGTCTGATGTTGTATGACAGTCTGATGTTGTATGACAGTCTGTTGTTGTATGACAGTCTGATGTTGTATGAC